ATCTACTCCAAGATACTAATTTCTGCTGGTGTTCGTGGAGTACAATGTGGTTCAAAGGATTTTTCGATCACTACTATCAAAGCCTTTGCAAAATCACAGGTCAGTAAAATCTTACAATTATACGATGACGAACATGCAAAGAACCATATCTTGTCTAATATTATGTACCAAACATGTTGATTTTGTTTTGTGTTTCAGGTTGACTACATACTAGGAAACAATCCTATGAAGATGTCATACATGGTTGGCTTTGGGACCAAATTCCCAAAACAATTACACCATAGAGGCGCATCCATTCCTTCCATTAAAACTCTACCTGCCAAGGTGGGTTGTAATGATGGGCTTTCAACATGGTATTCTTCAAGCAAGCCCAATCCAAATACTCATATTGGTGCAATTGTTGGGGGCCCAAATTCAAATGACCAGTTCACTGATTCAAGATCGGATTATTCACATTTAGAGTCCACAACTTATATGAATGCAGCTTTTGTGGGATCTTTAGCCGCTTTGCTTGGAGAAAGTAAAGAAGAGTGCGTGTATAGTGTGGTTGATGATTTACAGATTCATCACCAATGATATGTTTGTTATGTTGAATTGAACAAAATAATTTATGAGCTGCCTCTATGCCTTATTCCATCTAATCTAATGTCACATGTTGAAAATATATAGTACTAAAAAAAATCCGTCATCGGTGTCAATGGTTGTGTAATAATTTTAGATTGATTTGTAAAATATATATACATGAAACATGATTAGTGCATGTGAATAATTTGGTTTTACCTTACATGTCTCATATGTCGATCAATTGGTACGATAGATTGGACATAACAACCGAGAATTTTTATCTATATCTTTTATGTCTTAATCTCGGGATCTTATTCAAATATAACATTGTCATAAATGAATGAAATTGAAGTATTTGGTTGCTCATCCCTCCAATACTCATAAGCAAAAACTCCTTGACTTTTAAAAAAAATCCGTGCAACTCTTCACAACAAAAGTGCAAGAGAGAAGAAAAAGAAATTTACTTGTAGGTGTGTATAAATTAGCCCCCGTTTGGGTTTCATTTTATCTAGAATATATTTTCTCTTACCTCTTCTTAATTATACATTTTTCAATAAAATAATATTACACGTAAATTCAACACTTTTTCTCCTTTTTTAATTTCACATTCTTCTAAAAATCGCTATTCTAAAATGAACTTTTCTTCTAAAACACATTTTAATGGAAATCGAACACGGGCTTAGTTCCTTCTTGGACCAAAATAT